TTTTTTTTTTCTTTCCCCCCTAAATCGTCCTAGTAAAGACAAGTGCAGCAACCAGAGTGAAGTCAGTTGTGCAAAGGAGTTTGGGCCCAGGAACAGAAATGGAATTGTTCTTAACAACACAGTTGGCATGCTTGGAAGCTGATGCATTACAGGAAGGATGTTTTCTTCACAACAATTGCTGTTTTACCAGACAGCACACTTGCATGATGCACACAATTTTACTCTTTCTGATTTCAAAGTACTGTTGGGACAAATTTTGCCCTTGGATAAGCATGCTCAGGCCCCACTGAAGCCAGGCAGTGGAACTTACAGTCATGTGTCCGAGAGCAGAATTTGTACCCAGTGTTATAAAGAAAGAAAACTGTTTAGTGGATAAATAATAAAGAAAAGGAATTTACAAAACAAACAAGCAAGCATTAAAATATAATTAATTACAAAAAATAAACAAAAACCAAAATAACCAGAGCCACTTACAGGGCTTGATGGAGTCTTTGGCCAGCCTGGGCTGCTAATGCTATCACTTTCATCTCCATGAAATGAGGAGATGCTAGCAGAGCTTGGGGACATTGGGGAAGGGACTGGCAGGTTGCCTGGGGTTGGGGGCTGAGAAATACCCTGAGAGCTGTAGCTATCCTGTGGTAGAGGAATACAAAAAAAAAAAATATGACAAAGGCAGGGCAAACTTTATTTAAAACAAAAAAAATACATCCAGTTTAACAGACTGACCAATTATTATATATAAAATATATATAAACAGAGAGACACATACAGAAAACACACACATATATAAATATATTTATATATATATAAAAGGTATTAAAACAACATTGTTAATTAGTATAATTTGGAAAGTTTGCTGGATGCTTGGCTAAAGTCATTAAGCCACCATGCTTACTTCAAGCTTGCATGAAATGCTAAGCATGGGTTTCCCATTATGAAAGAAACAAACAAAAACAAGCCGTTCACCTTATTTAATCAAATAAGGCAGGAAAGCAAAATATTAAAGCATGTCGCTGCTGCAGCCAAAACAGGAAGCTATAACTGAAGGCAGAGAAAAATGGCTGCAAGGACTGAAACCAGGCAAGACCCTTCTTTCCCACCCACCTGGCACAGCCAAATGCCCACGCAACTTTTGGGCTTGGGATGCTTTGCCCCAGCAAGTTAAAATGCCGTAAGAACTAGTAACTTTCAGATCCACACAATGAAGGAAAAAAAAACCGAAAAAAAAAAAGAAAGAAACAAACAAAAGAAAGAGATTGCACGTGAATGGAAAGGCATGCAGGAAAGAACAAAAGTGGGTAGGCCAAAACCAGGAGATGAAGGACAACACGGCAGACTGTGCGGGCGGAACCAACACCACGTGCGGAAGGTGGTAAATACCTTTGACTTGCTCTCGGGCTGGGGGGCTCCTTCTTCTTTGCCATCTGCTTTGAGAGGAAGGGGAAGTTTGGACTCACCAGGTGTCATCATATCTGCAAGACCCATAGGTGCTAATCGAAAACAGGAGAAAGAGTTAAGCATGACTGTGTTTGGCTTTGTAGGAAAAAACACTCTTCCTGCTGCACGGTTGTGGCACCACGTAAAGGAGAGGTTTTCCCACCTCTGTCCTGTTATTCTAGCATCCGGAAACCTGGAAACCTCTTCAGTTGAATTGAGGAAACAAAGGAGAACGAAAGAAGAGAATACAAGCACCATACAACAACAACCACCACTTAACAGAGTAGAGTTCATTCTTCATGCTGCTGGTGCTCTTCAACTATCTGCATTTGACCACAATATTTTAACACAACAAGTCTATTTTAATTACTGTACTCTCCCTTTAGCAATAGACAAATATAAATGAGAACAACGCACATTCTGCTTGCCATGTTGAATCCAAGAAAAAAACTGAATTTTCCAATTACATCTGTATTAAGGCTGGTGTCCAGCAGATAATTCCTGCCCCTACCGACTTCAATATGAATGGCTCAGCCACTGTGAGCCTTAACTACAGAATTACAAGCTGTAAACCATGCTCTGTTGGAGAACCAGCACTCAGCTTCCTCCTCCTGCCAAAATGAGGTGGGACTATAACGAACACACAAATGTCTTTCTCTGATAATGGCATGCAGTTGGCTTCCCAGGGGTACAAGGAGTTTAAGGGTATTTTTTATTTGAAGATACATGTGCCAAGTATAGTAATATTGCTGCTGAGCTGCTGGGTTCCTGGATTTCTAGAAAGATGCAGGAAGAAACATTCAGACAAATAGACAGAAAATACTGGGCAGACAAATGCTAGGAGGTGCCATGACACTGAATCAATGCAAATAACCAGAAAACAGCAGCAAGACACCAGGTGATTCTTTGCCTGCTGAAAACCATGTGCACAGCATTTGTGAAAGACAGGATTACCTTCCCTTTTTCTCCTTTTAATCCCCCTCATGCCCTTTTTTCAAAGGATATGAGGTAAGGAAAACATACAGAATAACCTCAAAGACAATAAAAAAGAAAAAATACATATCCCAAATGTAAAAATGTAAGAATCAGTGAAGCATCATTGTCTTTACCAGAGTAGCGTGGCTCTCGCAAAATGACAGTGCTGGCTTGCACCAGGCAGCAGGCACACTGCACAGCGAGCCAAAGATAGGAGGGGGAAAAGAAGCTTTAAAAATACTTCACAGATTGCCCACTACAAAATGATTATTGCACATATTCATGTATTACTATGTTTTAGAAAATAATTAGTTTTAATTACAGCAGTGAGAGCATGAGCAGGACTCTAGCGAATATGCTGGCAAGCTTTGCAGTGCTAATTTGCTAATATCTTTAGCATCACTGCAGGTTGAGACTCTGGCTCTGCCAAAAAAACCTACCCAGCCATGTGCCATGTGAGTTTACAACTGTATGCTCAATATCCAGCTTTGAACTGCCGGTGTTTTTCATGGGCACATTTTCTTGTTTTTTCAAAGCACATTTGTCGCCCAATCAAGCCCTTAAAGTCATCACAACACATAAATCATAACTGAGTTTAAAAAAAAAAAAAATACTTGCAATACTTCAGACTTCAAGAATTGGAACAAAAAGCCTTTTACAAGTGATGCAGCTGCAGAGAAAAATCTATTGGGATCAGCTAAAAATGCTGTTATTTTTATGTATGTGTGTGAAATCTCAACAAAACAGCCAGTAAACATGCTACTAGGAAGTCAGCATCCACTAAGCATTTGATTTGTATGCATTTTGCCCTTATATTCTGCTTGAGAAGCTGGGGCAGCTTGTGACCATTCTCAAGAGAAGGATGGCAGCCTAACACTTAGGTACAAAATGGTCAAATATATGCCACAGTGTGGCTTCAAACTGGGATGCAGAACTGTTATACAAAATCCATTTTAATAGTTAACACATTTCATGCTGTGAAAGTGCTAAAAAAGAAGTCTTGGGCTTTAGTTTCAAAGCAAGCAAAGCCGACCCTTCCCCTATAAAGCAATTTTAGAGAGGTCAAACAAAGCGAAGTTAATGATCACACTTCTTCACCAGAATTCTGCATAGCTAAATCCTCTGCTGATATCTCACTTTTATCTAGTTGGCACATCATATTTCTATTATAAAGAATTTAAAAATTGTGTCCACTTCTGGCAGTCCTGTTTCCATCAGAACTCTCCTATGAAATCTTTGCTCCAGAGGAGTTTAACTTAACATCCCATATAAATGGCTAGTAACTCCCATCTGCTGATTATAACACACTTTCTGACTCTATCAGTCATGCTTAGAAACGTAAAAATACAGGTTCATTTTGGCTTTTGACTATTTCTTGCTGGCATATGCAAATGCAACTATCAGGAATTGGAGACAATTATGAAAAAAATAATAAAGTTACCCACATTCTGTTTCACATTTTATTCTAAATTATTTAGCTCATCTACATTCTTTCTTTCTACCTCTAAGAGATGAACTGCAAACATTTTACTGGCAAACTGCAAGGTTGCCTATTTTCCCTATAGCTTTTACCCAGGATGTTTCCACAGCTATTTTTTTATCTGCTGTTGAAATGCTGTTTCGTAACTTCTTGCAAACATACTCTCCAGCGATTTGTGAGAAGACATTCTTTCACTTTTTTTAGCTAAGCAGTACAGCAAGAACATTGTTTTGACCCTTTCTGAGCAGTGAAATACTGTTATTGTCACGAAACTGCTAAAATAAGACACAGTCTCTTTCTACACAGGTACTAATAATTCTGCCTGTGAAGTGCAGACCAAAAGGAGAAAACATTGTAGAGAGGAGGGTAACAGGGAATCTTGACTCAAGAAGTGTTGTGGCGTACTGTGAATAGGTTTCAAGTACTAGCCTCTGGCTTATTATAAGAATTTAAGAGCTAGAATGATTTCAAAAAGCAAGTATAGGTCAAGGTCCTGAATTAACTATTCCACACTGAATTTAATGTACTCAAAGGCAGATATTGACATGAGTAAAACTGCAGCAAAGAATTCTTTTTTGCTAAAGGCTGCTCTACCAGTCCCAGAAGATGATGAAATACTGTAGAAGCAGCAATATACAAACATTGTTTTTCTCTTTATTGCTAGTGTGATAACAAATCATGCTCTACAAAACAGAATACTCCCTCCTCTCTCCCTTGTAATGTAATACATTCCTCTCTCCCCTCCAACCCTCTCACTCTCCCTCTGCAAAAAAAGGAGAAGAAAATGCAAAAGCAGTGAATTAGTGACTGTGGAGTTGATGAGAGGATCCCCACTGCTTTGATGCCCAGTGAAAAAACAGAAGAGGGACAACAGCAGTGCCCAGTGTCCTGCCATGAATGATCCCCCAGATCTGAGATGAGTGCAGCTCGAGGTGGTTGGGGACTTTATCTGAAAAGGATGAGTGAGCCACCAGGGATTTCTGTGCCACACTGCCTTTCTGCTGACAAGTCTTGTCGAAGGAATGACAAATACAAGCAGTTTAGGACATGGGCATCTCTATGCCAGGTGCTGACTGGATTTACAGTCACACAATGGCCACTGGATCACAGTCATCACTTGTTTGGAATATAGGTGATGGGACACTTCAGCTGTTACCACCTACTGACAACCTCCAGAAAGTTTATCTAAATGTGCATTAATAGCTCCTATAAGGATGTGCATTAGAGGAAAAAAAACCTCCTGAAATAAACTGAGGTATCCATTTTTCAGAAAAATACAACCAAGCTGTGAAACAGAAAAAAACAAAGTAAGTTTCTAAAAAATATTTCACCTGCATAAATATTGCTTTTCCTGTTAGAGGTTCATCCAAATAAATACCAAGTCAAATATACAGCATATGGATGATTTTTAGTATTATTTTAAAGAGTGTCCACTTAATTCCTTTAGTGTAAATAATTTTTCCTAGAATTTCACATTTTATGTAAACTATTGTGATGTTAAAAGTCAATTTGGTGTAACAATACCCAGAAGAAGAAATGTTTCAGTAAGAGAGAGGTACTGAAATAAGGAAAGTATCCTTGAGCAGTAAGGAGATTAATGCCTTTTTATTGATTTGTTCATCTCTAAAGGTAGCAGAGATTGTAAATGCCAGTTTCTATGCAAGAACAACATGGAAACCTGGAAATACTTGCTTTCCAATATGGAAAGTAAGATATAAACTTCATATTGCTCCTTTTTAAAGATAATTTTACTAGAATTAACAAAGCTCACAGCATGAGCTATATTTGGGATTGTAAATTTCCTGTTTATTATATGCATTTTTAAAGCTGGAATTTGAAAAATAGGGGAAAAAGTCTAAAATATATATGGGTAATGTGAACTCATACAATAAAAGGACAGCGGCAGTTATACAATTTTTCTGAATGGCAGTTTGTTCCATAATTGTGAAGGGATTTTGACACCTTTTTCCTGAAGCTTTTGTTATTGCTATGGATGGAATACTCTATTAGAAGAATCTGTCTTCTTTGATCTTGTAATTTCTGTGTTCCTAAACCACTCTGCATCAGCAGAAGCTGGTGATCTGCTGTTTGATCCACAGTCACTGCTGAAGTATCAGGATGCATAACTGCAGCATGATTTTCCTTTCAATTGTGACATTAATTAAAAAAAGAAACTAAAGACAAAAGGATCAACTGGTAATGAGGAGTTAGAAACACTACTAAAAATGGGTGACAAAACCTGTGTTAGACATAGCTGTACTGAAGCTCCAACACCTTATGAAAACAATGCCATCAGTTATCAGCAATCTTCTCCTATTTTAGAGTAAAACTTAAAAGTGCATTTTATTGAAATGAAAGACTCACCACCCTCCCTCACAACGGGCAACAAAACTGCACCCTTCAAAGCCCAGACAATGAAGAAACTAACTTCTCCCTATTGCTCACCTTAGGTTTTTACTGGCCCCGAACTGAAACCACAGTTGTTGATGCTCAGTGAATGTGAGCAGGTTAACCAATGCCTTCACTCCAGCAGCAGCCACTCAGCTGCTCGTGGTTTTAGCCCCCCACATTGGCTGAACCCTGGTTTATCTGACAGGTGTGTGATTTTACACTAATGGGGCAGGGAGGAAGGGGAGGCTAAGGAGCCACAAAGCTGAATTGGTCTTCCTGCCACAGAACATGCCCCTAAATAGGTATAATCTGTAGGTTCTCCACCTCATCAAATGCAGGGCCAGAGCTGACCCTAAAGTGCACCCCCAGCTCAAGGAATTATCATTAAAAGTACTGTATTTACACTTGTCTTAAGCTTCCATTTTTTTGACCCTAGCAGAAGGATGAGTCCAGATAGGAGGAAATTAAGCACTCCCACAGCATTTGCACTCAGCAATGTATTCACACCTAACTTTCTCTTTCTGGTGTTGTGCGTGTCCATCTCCTCCCCAACAGTGTCTCCTGGAGGCCTGTAAAGCAATTCTGGATGCGTGTCTGCTCCCACACAGATTGAAAAAAGGTGCACTGAACTCCACTAGTTCATCTCATACTTACTTTCCATTGGGTAATCTCTGAATTAATAAAACTGGAACAAAAGAAAACCTCACAAATGCACTGGCAGAAGAAACCCTGATAAATGTTTAAATTATTAAAAATCCAATATTTCAGAATGCATAACACAATAAAAAGAGTATGACTACCCCATACAAAAGACTGCTAGGATAAATGGTCTTGCATTGAACAGATTTCCACTGTATGAAATAACGAATGGCTGAATTATCTGAACAAAAAACCCTCTGTGAATCTTCCTTTAAACTGGTTATTCCTTAGGAATACATAAATCTTCTTAGGCAGGGCATTCTGCCATCTGTTTGCTGTTGGTTATTTTTGCAGCTCTGGGGGCCAACAGAAAAGGGTGGAAAAATTACTTCTGCTAATAGCAAAACAGAATTTATAGCACAGTTTCAATGCTCAGAAGTAATTTTATTTCAGCAAGCCAGACAAAACACATAACTACACAAACAAAACATAATATTACCTGGGACAGCTCTGGTGGGGAAAAAGCAAGCTATTATCTAATGCTATTTTCAATAGCTTGTCCCTCTTCATCCAGATGGTGCAGTGTGCATGTCTGGGCTAGCCAACAGCTTCCAGGCCAGCACTGGAAAAAGCCTTCTTTTATTTTTTTTTTTTTTTTGGTTAATTTCTCTCTCTCTCTCTTTTAATCTTACTGATTAGGCTAACCAAAATGGTAACATAATGTTCTTGAAATATAAGATACTGTTCAGTGTCTCAGCAGCTCCTATGCAGAGGAAAAGAAACTCTCTGGACATACTAGACAGTAACATCTCACTGGGGTCATTTTCTTCCAAAGAAGCCGGAACATAGAATTGACAGGGAGAAAAGACAAGGAAAGGTGCAAAGGATAAAATAATTATACAGGCTAAGAGGGAGAGAAAAAAGATGTGAAAAACCTGGCTCTGGGTAAGACGCAATTTAGGTAGTAAGGCATTTCTTAAGAAGTAAACAAAAGTAGAAACAAAAACAACTAAGAAACAACATCATTTTACCTTAGCACAACCTATTCAGCTTTCAGAAAAAACTTTAAACCTCCCAACATTTCTAAAAGGGATAATGTAATCAGTAAAGCATGCACAGAAACTCCATGACTGGAATAAGTACTTGGATGGATCCGCGTCAGAGTCATTGAAACTCCATCTAAACACAGCACAATCAAAGAATTGATCTTTGCTGAAGTATTATCTTGAAGAAGGATAATTGTTAGGAATTCAAGCTGAATATGGACCATGAAGCACATTTGTGCAGAACTGTATTCACCTGTCTTCAGAGTCACACAAAAAGCTACAAGCAATTTTGAACTCATAAGTCATGATATGAAGGATGAATCCAGGAGTTACATTGAATATGCTTTTTTTTCCAAAAGGAAGTTACGACAGAATTTTGTATACTGATGCTTAAGTAAGTAAATGAGGAAACCCTGTATAAATTTTGGAAACAGTAAATATGGCCTATGTTTTCCAAACAGAATGATTAAGTTAAGTGCTCAACTTACAGCATCTTCAAGTCAGAGCAAGTGCACATACCTTTTTTAAATGACTACCACGTTAAATATCTGAAAACGCAACCTTAGCAAGTAAGATGCTGAAAAACAAATGCAACCTCTTAAAACAAGAAGCTATTCTCCTTCCCTTTCTTGCATACACATACACACAAATATACATACACTTCTAGTCAACACCTATGCCAAGCTGAGTCCGAGTGATGAGTCCAACACTCTACTCAACAACATGCTGTGCAGAAGGATTTAATGAAAAACGTATCAGTTACTGTACCAAAAAAAGGTGAGTACCTTGGCCAAATTTCAAATCACTCCAAGCTACCCAATGGGGTGAATGAAATGAAGAAGGATGTTCCTCAGCCACCAGCCCAGGGCTGATGGCGTGAAGCAGGTTTATGGAGGAAGGTCACTGCTGGAAGGTCACTCACCGTTACCTGTCGAGCTGTTCACCATGTTGGGTGCCATGCTGTAAGGAGGAGCCTGTGGGTTCATCAGGCCAGAGCTGTTGTTCATCGGCTGAGTGTAGGGGGAGCTGGATCCCATAATGCCGCTCTGATTCATGGCAGGAAAATTGCCTTGCCTAGCAGAGGAAAGCACATGTACAATATCTCATTACAGACCTCATTGCTGAAGATGCTGTGGTTTGTCACAGAGCCTATCACCTGTTCCTTGTAAGGAGAAAGCAGGCAATTAGTTCATTTTACCTATGTGAGTTAGTCTTGAGCTACTTATCATATATGTGAAATAGAATTGGACTGAAGACTAATTTCAAGAAAGGTATACAGAGTCTTTCCATGTCACTATCAATCAGAAGAAAAATACAGGTCACATTATATACCCTATGAGTAGACAGCAATGTGATCAGGATTCAAAATTAGAACCTAGTACTGGCATAAAAGGAAATCCAGCACATTCTTACCATTTTGACCATGTAATAGCAATCTTCACCTGCCAGAGCTTAATAAACAGCGAAACGACCAAAAGAAAAATAGGTACCATAGACTCAGTTTCTGATCTCTGCATCTGTTACTGTTTGAACAGTGTTCATCTGTATGTCATCTATGTCCAATCTTTCAAAAAACTCCATGCATATTCCACTTCGTTGAAACAAGAAACCTCAGCAGAACTATTTTGCTTTTTAAAATGAATCCCGTATTTGTATAACGCTTTTATAACTGAAACCTAAATTTGTCTCAAAACCTGCCCTAAATGAAGCCCTTGCATAATTCTCCACATGTTCAGACCAAGTATTTTGAAAGCCTACTACTTTAAAGTTCTAAGAAGTATCTAAGTATGCTTGGTACCTGATTTGTCAAACTCTATAGACAAACGGATGTACAAAAAAGAAAATAATCCAATTCAAGTAAGCACGATAACCCAATATAACGCATGATTCAACTTCAAAAATAACCTTTTATCCTTCTAATGCATAAAACAATTACCTACCTTTTCTCAGTGTAGTTGAAGACCGCATGTATTATTGCATGTATATGAGTAACACTTCTACATATAAAATCATACATATGAATAAAACCACACAGAAAAATACTTATTTATATATTCATAAGAAAATACAAAATTCAGACCTCTTTCTTCAGTATCCCCCCTGTTTATTTCTGCTGCTTTTCCAAATAAAAGAAACAAGAAAGCAACAACCCTTTTACACAGCTTTAGTACCTGTCAACTTTTATTTCCTAACAAAAAACGAAGCACTTAATTTCATCCTGCAGGAAGGGAAGGCTGAATGTCCAGGTAGCAAGATGAGAGTTTTGGTAGAAATTCTACTTTTAATTATTATACAGTGCTCAAATCAAAAAAAGACAACTCCTAAATCAAGAACCCTGAGTAACTTCAATGGCTTCTTGTCTTCTCCAAACTCATGGCAGATTCTTAACACAAGTGGTAGAAGCAGATTTCCTTTTTAGGAGGTACAGGAGGGAAGACCATTAAAGCACTATTTGGCCTAATTTTTCTTGACACATTGTGAATTTCTTCAAAGGAAAAGAGAACGTGTTATCTAAATAAAGCATCTTTTTCCAAGTCAGTTTTGTCCTTTGCTCTCTGAAGACAAACTTTTCTTCACTCTTGCAAAGAGGCAAAGGCTTTCTTTTGATATGAAGGAGATAACTGCCATACAATGTCATTTCCCAGATGAAACTTGCAACGAGAAGTGGAGGGAAAAGATTTAAAATGCACAGTGGTGCAATGCTCCAAGGGAAAATTACAAAGGGAAAAGAGAAGAGCAGAACCATTTGGCAACAACTTTAAATTATTTCAGTCACACAATCAAGCTTTTCTTATGTAAATACTGTATCTTAAACATCCCTACCCCCTCTCCTTTTTAGCTGAAAATTGCTATATTTCAGCAAATGCAGTTAACTGAAAAGCGCTTTCTATGTGGATAATCTAGATCCTTTCTGCTACTGGGTAAAGTTACTAGTGAAGATGAAAAAAATGTGCAATGGTATTTTCATACTCTAAAAAAGAAGTAATGGATTTCAAGAGGTGCTTTTATAGATTAAGGCTAGGATTCTGGAAAAGGCAAGTCTCTACAGGTATCTATCTCTTTCATGTCCTTCTTTTACTTAAAAATATACAGGAGACACACACCTTGCAGGTAAGCTGAAATTGGTCCTTATCTACTAATATTTCAACAGTATTACTTCCTGTAGCATGTGTATCTTCTAAGCTGTGGGGCTGTTCATTGTCTCAAATTGTGGTACAACCTATTTCATGTTACCCACTATGGACATCAATCTCAATTGCAGCTCATGCAAGCACACTGCTGTACAACAGCTTTAAATCAAAAAGTAGGAAACTATTTCCAGTTTAGATGGAGAGTGGAAATTAAATAAAAAGAATATACTGGCTTTGGCCAAGACAGCAAGAAAACAACTGAAGTCTAAAAAAATTGCTTCTGCACCCAGAAGAACCTGAATGGCAGAACCTAATTCTGAAATTTCATCTGGCAAGGCAATACCTTTCCTTTTCATTCTCCTATGTAATGTTGCACTTGGAACGGACACAGCTCTCCATCTCTGGAAAGAGCCCAGCAAGTGGAAAGACTCAGCACCATCCCTGGCAGGACTTTGTCCTTCCCCAGCCCCCTATCAAAGCCCTGACCGCAGCACACATGAGCTAATTCAGTAACACTGAAAGGACATCCTGGCAGAGTAAATGCTGCTTTATTCTGAGACTGGGTGCAGTGAGCAGTACAGAGCTCCTCCACATATTATTTTGCTCTATGATGGCTTGGAATGGAAAGTTTCTTTAGGGAGAAATAATCAGGTATTACTTCAGCCTTTAATTCTCACTCCACAGTAGGCCTCCTTTGAGTAAAGACTGCCGACTGTGACAAATTGTGCTGCATCAGTGCTATAATATGAAGTGGAGTCCATTAAGAACTGAGCTGAGATCACCAAACTCATTTTGATTAACCTCCAGGTCACTAAACACTTATAAATATGTTACACAGCAGCTGCTAAACATATTTATATATGCTTAAGGTCACAGCATCATCTGTTGGTTGTTGGAGTTAAGTCAAAAATCTTATGTTTCCTTCTGTGCTGCTTTTAGTTAAGGCATATCCAACATACTACAGAACTAGACTCTCCTACATTTCCCAATTCCCTCCTCCATTTTTCTGGGATGCTAAATAAAAATCAAACCTTTAAAAACAGTCTGCTATACACGTAGTGACATCTAATGGCAAAAATTCAACTGGCCGGCTATGAATTTTATAGCAGTACAAACCCAGCTAAGTATACAGTTTTACAGTATTTGCCACATAAACACCAAGGGCTGGGCTGCTTAGGGATGATGCAATTAGAATAATAGGAAGAAATAAAGAAAAGATACACTTAAGTTTAGTATAATGAAAAGATATCTTCATGGTGAGATACAGTTACCCTTCAAGGGAATGCAGGAAACCTCAGCACCTGACACTTCTGCATGCAGGCAACATGTTAGAAAATGTATTGGTCAGAGAAACCCTGCATTGTGTACGAACTAGAGTATCTGCTCTTGCAATACCTTGATCCCACATAATGTATTTTTCCCCATTTAGAAGAAAAAGCAGCCAGGCCAATACAAATTCGGGACTATGCTATCAATTTAAACAGAACATCTAAGGCTACATGTTTTTTCTGCTCTACTGCTACAAGTAGATCTTCAAGGGTTCTGTAATTTTAAGAGATTTAAAGTGGAAGAGAGGAATCTACTTGCTTTCTATAGTTTATTTACTCTGTTGACAATTTAGCAATGCATAATGCCAGAACCAGTTATCATACTTGAGAAAAGGGGATGCCACCTCAGGCCCCCTGGACAAGCTGGAGGAATGTGCTGACAGGAACTTTATAAAAGTCAACAGGGACAAGTGCGAGGTCCTGCAGCTGGGAAGGATGATTCCCCGCAGTGGTGCCAGCTGGGACTTGACTAGAGGGAGCAGCTTTGCTGAGAAGTCCCTGGGCATCTTGGCAGACAGAGCTGAGCATAAGCCAGAGTCTGCCCTGGCAGCAGAGAGGGCCAACAACATCCTGGGCTGTGTGATGGGGTGCAGAGTTGGGAGATGGAAGAAATTGATCATCCCCTCCTTCCTCAGTACTCACTGGACTCCACCTAGATTATGATGTTCAGTTTTGGATCCCCAGAAAAGAAAAGATGATGATAAACTAGAGCGAGCAGAGAACCCCTTACACGGCCAAGGCTTGAGCACTCACCCTGGAAGGGCTGAAGGATGAGGCCTCATTCAGCCTGGGGCAGAGGCAGCTTTTGAGAGGAACCTACAGAAGCCCACAGCGCCTAAAAGGAGGTCAGCAAGAAGATAAAACTGGCCTTTTCAACTGTGGGCATGGTGGGGGGACAAGGCACACTGGGAAGAGTGAAAACACATTAAATTCAGACTGAATGCAAGGAAACTATTTCCCCAGTGAAAATAGTGAGAGACTAGATTTGGTGGCCCAAAGGGAGTGAGCAATCTCTGCATTTGGAGATTTTGAAGACTCAACAGGCTAACACCCTGAGCTCTAAGATGAGCCTGATGAGGAGAAGGTTGGACTAAACATTCCTCCTGAGGCTCCTTTCCAGCTTGAATGAAGCTTGTCAGCTTCACCGTGCTGTTGACAGCCTGGTGTACTACTGGGTCCAAAACACAACTGCTCAAATTCAAACCATTCCCTTTTAAGTTCTTCTTCTAATCTTTTGTTTTCCTTCATTTGCAATCTACCCAAAGCTTAATCTGCACTTAATCTCTTTTCTCTGCAAAACAAGTAGCATCGGATCTAATTGTGTCTTCTGAGCTAATGCAGAAGTTAGTGTATTTAAAAAGAGGAGTTGATATGCAAGATCTGGTCATCGTTAAAGAGCACAACAAAGAAATTGTTAGAAAGAACAGCACTGACAATACACAGGAGCACATGAGTGATCACAGCTGCTGAGCAGTCTCTTATACTGAAATGCCTTCCTTTAATTGCACCTGAAATCCTAAGTAAGTTTATGTGTTGTCTCCAACACAGAAGTCACTCTACTTGTCCTTGCACTTCATACTTCTTGATATGTGATTTAGTACCTCCTCAGTTTTGT